AGGGGGTGGATGGGCAGCAGTCGGGGGGGGGAGGGAGGCCACTTGGCCTCTGCAGGCCTCACTGGATACTCTGGGGCTGATGCAGGGGCCCAGGCAGGCCACACTGCGGGTGGCCACCTAGTCCTCAATAACAATGGGCTCATCGTTGACTGGTGCAGGTGGGGGTGGCCGCAGCGGCAAGGCCTGGCTCTGGCGCAGGGCAATGGGCTTGTAGGGCCGGCGGGCAGCACGCTTGGTTTCTGAGGATGAGAGCAGCTTGCGGATTTTCCTGTGGGAAGAGATGAACCAATAAAACCCAGAAGGTGGTAGTTGAAGACTCCCATCCCATCCCGTCCCAGGAAAGGCTCCATCCAACCTGGTCTCCTCAGTGGCCATGTAAAATACGTCATCTGGGGCGTCAATCCAGTTCATTCGCCGCCGCTTGACAGGAGGCAGGGAGCCACCGCGGATTAGGCGCACTTTGGTGGGGTAGGACTTCCCGTTGAGCAGGAGATTCCGACTTGGTCCCTGTAATAAAAGAGGTGTGAAGGCAGGGAGACAGTGCCCTGGCCCTCACTTATAGCCAGCAGTCCAACAGTCTAGCTTCCTGGGCAGCCAGGCCTTGCGGTTCCAGAGCCAACACACCCAGCCCAGGCAGGGAGCTCCTCTTCAGGCCTGGATGCGTTGTTAGGTCTAGCCAGGACTCCCAGATTCTCTCCATGGCACTGGCTGGGGAATAAGCGCTACCCGGGCCACTTCCCCAACACCCGAAGAATGTGTGTACACACAGAAGTGTGCCGAGTCGCCCACTCTTACCATGTGCCTGGTCTGTCCATGGTTTGCCAGACCTGATGAAAAAGAACACAGAGTGAGCCAGAGCCTACGCCTCCAAGTCCAGGCCATTAGCATGGAGCTGGGGGGTGGGGTGATCCCTCCTGAGGCCACCCCCTCCAACCGAAGCCAACACCCAGGGGGCCTCTAAGATTTTCTCAGCTAGCCCAGATGGTCCCATAGCTCTGCCAACCTTAAGGGCCACTTATATCCTGGCCAGCAGATGTAGCAGTTTGGGCTCCACATAGGAGGCCAGAGGTCTCAGGTCTGGTATGTGCTCCTTTGTGTGAGATGACTACCCACCCCCCAACAGGCCAAGACAGGTGAAGTTTGGTGTACACCAAGCAACCGCCTATGTACATCATCATCCCTAGCCCTTCTTGGACAGCCATTGTCTGCCGGTTGTTCACATCCTAAAAGCAATTTAGGCTGACTACAATAGCATGCTTGTAGGCTGAGGGCCTAAAAAGGAACTAAGAGAGGCAAAATCCAGGCTCTGTCATCCCACCCCAGCAGGAGTCCCAGCTGGGCCCGCCTCAGGAATCATTGCGTGTAAGCCATGTGTGCCAAACAGGTCTCTGAATGGCCTGATCTGGGGACAAGAGAGGACTACTCTACCATGCCCAGTGCCAGTGGACCCCATGGCAATCCGTCAATCATCGAACATTTCCCATCAGAGATCTCTTCATGTTTTGAGACAAGGTCTTAACAGGTACCTCAGCTACCCAGAACCAGAGACCCTCCTCTCTCCAGCCTCCCAAAGGCTGCAATCTAACCCTATTCCAGCATGCTGTGTCCAGCCTTTTCCCCCTGCAAGCTCGTTTAGCTCTCACAGCCTTTCCCCAGCAAGCTCGTTTAGCTCTCAGGAGCCCCAATTCCCTGGTCTGCAGCACCCAGGCAGGGACCCCCAGCCCTGCGCCCACACAAAGCCCTGTCATGAGAGCTACTTACCCAGGTAAGTGCCTGCCAGAGTGATGAGGTGGCAGAGAGAAAATACACACTGGAGTTAGAGTGAGCGGCATGCACATGGCAGCTAAGCCGCGGCGGGGCAGAGCAGCAGGCAGCATGGGGTAGGGGTTAGTGAGTTAAGAACCTAGGGTGCCAGAGTTCCCATCTGCCCTGCTTATGCAAGGCCCAGTCCTGAGGCCTACTACAGCACCACTAGAAGGCTGGGGCTATCTCCAGGCAGCCAGCCCATGGCTCCTAGGCTAGACCCAGGACTGAGACCTGGTTTTACAATTCCAGGACAGCCCCTTTTCTTGGGGCTAGACCCTCTGGCCTGGGGCCTGAGCTGCCTAGACCACTCACAGAGCCAGTGAGTTCCCACCATGTCCTGGTTGGGTCTCCATTGCAGGACACACTTCAGGTCTGCATGACAGACTTTGGGAAGTGAACAGTTCTTTACAGAGGCCAGAAGCAAGGTCTGGGAAGGCTATGCCTGGACCACTGGATTGAGGTGCAGATAACATAGCCAGTCCCTCAACCAGACAAAAAAGACATGCCTGCCTGGGTGCCCGACAGTTGGCAAGCTTCCAAAACAACCTCAAGGGGGAGTGTCCTGAGGTAAAAAGGTGCAACTGGACAGTCCCTGCCCACTGCTACCTCCTGGGCTCTTGTCCTGAGAGCTGGGGAGGGGTCTGAGAGGGCTCTTGCTGGCTGGCTGGTGTTTCCTGGCTACCCCCAGGTCCAGTCTTAAACATTAACCCCCACGCTGACTTAAGACTTGGTGCAATCTATATCCCTCATGTCCTGAGCAGGCTCGTGCCCCACAGCCCTGACAGCACCAGGAGAATCTGAGCTAACCTTCAGCAGACACGAAGACCGTATGTGTAAGCCCAGCCACCAACCCATCGCTACCGTCCCCATCAGGCAGGGCACACAAAAACTGCAGGTAGCACTAGCGGCCCTACAAGCAAGGCTGAAGGCATGCGAGCAGTCACAGCACCACAGCAGTGGGGGCACCAGGGCCCTCATGCAAGGACAGTCCACTCATGGCTCAGGCCAAGGGGGCCCTCTACCAAGTCACAAGTCTACACGAGCACAGGAGCTCGGGCTGTGGCCTGCGTCTGTGTGGACTGCCCCTGTACGTGCCCTGAACCTCCCAGTCTGCTGGCAGACAGCACACACAGGCATCACGACAGGACTCGGCCACGGCACCCCACCAGCGGCCGCCCCAGGCCTTACCCCTACTGGGCATCAAGAGGCGTTTCTTCATGTTGCCTGGCAGTGCCCAGGGACAGGAGAGAGAGGGAGAGAAAACACCATCAACTAGGCAGCCTTTGAATAAGGTTCACGTGGAGCTCCAGGGCTAGCCCCACAGACACTCTGCAGGCCCGACCTCCTCGCAGGGCCAGCCCTGCAGCTCAGACTCACCATCCACCCCGTTGTGCTGCTCATAGCTCCGCTTGCCCAGGATGGTGGGGGAGCCATTGTTGATGACGGGGGCTGACTTGGCAGGGGTCAGACTGCTGAGCACACTGGATGAACTCTTCACAGGGTCAGGCTTAGGGGGGCGGGGATGGGTCTCTGGAAATGTAAGAGGCAAGGGGGTGTGATTCAGAAACAGCACTGACGAGGCTGGAAGGACAGCCACTATCTACCGGAGCTCACTGAAGCTGGGGATCAGAGCATTCCTAACAGGAGGGCTACCCAGGATCCCTTAGGGAGGGGTGGCAGCCAAGCCTGCTGTCTTGGACACAATTGCTGGGTAAGTGCTAAGAGCTTACAAGATCCAGACACAGCCCATAAACATAGCAGTCCCATCAGGCAGCCTCTACATCCAGGCCACCAGGTCTGATGGGAGAAGACTGGCTACTGGCCAGACACTGAACTGCCTGGCTGGCTGAGCGAGGACCCACCCCACAGAAGGCGGGGCCTGGCACTGACCACATCCTCCTAGGGAACAAGGACATAGCTGACCCTGGGGCCCAGGACCCCGGATAGGGATCAAAGCCAAAGACACTTGTGTCTGCAATGAACACACTTAGCTCATGGTTCTGGAATGTCCTTTCTAGAAGGACTGCAACCTCCATGCTGGAGGACGGACTCAAGTCCACTTAAACACCGCAAACAAATGACCCCAAGTGTCTGGCTCCACCTCAGAATGTGCCATTTCTAAATGGCCAGTGGCACTGCCTAAGAACCTCAGCAGTGCCCAGACCCACACAAGCAAGGAACGATCCCTGCAAGGCTGCCAGCCAAGTGAGCACCTTGGCCACCAAGGGCTCACAAAGGTCTGCAATGGTGTCCACCCTGCCTTTGTTGACTTGCTGTAGGTTGGGTTACACCTGGCCTAAACCTTAGTCATAAGTCAGGTGTGGTGGCGCACGCCTTTAATCCCGGCACTTGAGAAACAGAAGCAGGAGGATCTCTGTGAGTTTGAGGCCAGCCTGGTCTACAGAGCGAGTGCCAGGAGAGCCAGGGCTACATGGCAGAAACCCTGTCTCCAACAGGACACAGGGCTACTGGGTATGCCAGGGGTGTGAGGGACAGAGGGCCTGGGACTTGGGACCAAGGATGGGACAGGAGGCAGAACTGCCCTCTGTGGGTATCCTGAGCCCAGCACAGTGCAACCCAGGCCAGAAGCGGAGTGCTGGTGACCGCGCAAGGTTTCCCGACAGGTTGTTAGGATTTGAGTTAAAGTTACGCCCCACCCCACCCCCAGCTTACCAAGATACCGGAGTACAGCCTCCAGGGGCTTCCGCACTACCTGCTTCAGCACCAGTGGGCTCTGGGACGCTTCCGGCAGCCGTGCAGTGCCTAAAGGAGGACGAGGTAGGGTGAAGGGCTGTGATCCCCCAGAGTTGGGGCCACCACCTTGACCCCGGCCTGAACACACTGCATGGGTGTGGCTCCTACCGGATCCAAGAAAGGGACTGACTCACACTCAGCCTTGATTGCTGCACTGTTGATGGGCATGTAGGGGTGTCGCGCGGCATGCCATGGGCGTAGGATCTCACGGCACAAGCGCCGGGCAATGCGTGTCAGCTTGGTAGTGTGCAGGTAGAAGGCCTGCCTTGTCTTCATGGCAAACTTGGGGCTCCCACTGCTCCGGGCTGGGATGCCGTGGGGACTCTGTGGAGCGGAGCACACCACCCCAACACAGCACCGTGACTAGAGGCCAAGGGCCTGAGGCCTACCTGCGGCAGGCGACAAGCATGGCATGCCGCACTTACCATGTTATTGCGATTTGGTCCCGGCCTCTCTCCATCTAGCCGGGTTGGCATTTTCAAGCCACCGTATTTCTTCCAATATGTCCAGCAAGAAGCGCAGAGGCGACACTGCATGTTAGGGGGACCCCAAGAATACCACTGGTAAGACTGTGTGGCTACGGACAACAAAGTTGGAGATAGACGGATTCTTAAGCAGA